TCATCTGATGGGCAGCCAGATGAAACACGTCAGCCCGCGCCGGCGAGCAGCGCCAGTCATCGCGCCGCCGGTGCCCCTGGCGGTCAATGTCCTTGAAAGAAGCGAGCCCATCCACGGGCGACGCCCCGAGATCGAGCTCCTGCTCCGCTGGTGCTCATGCTCTTGCTCGCCCGCTGATGCTCCTCTTGCTAGCTCACTACTGCCCGCGCGCCCACTGATGCCTGCTCGCCCGCTGATGCTTGCTGGTGCTCACAGCCCGCTCACCCACTGATGCTCCTCTGCTCGTCGAAAGATCTGTTTGACACTTTTTCACCGTATGAGACAAACACTGCATCGAGCGCGGCAGCAACTGTTCTCATGCAGCCATTTCACTCAAAGGCATAATTCAGAACCAAAGGTGGATTTTTCCGCATGGGGCAACTTGTAGCCGCCACATCCAGCAGCCGGCCACTTGAGAAGATCCATGGGAATTTTGGACCGTGTCTGAGTTTGAATCGTTGTTTTGTTTTGGAAGCCGTTTCAATTTTCAATATCTAGATGTGAATCCAGAAACTCGAATGTTAACCCACTGTCTAAGCTCTACTTCAATTCAAGCGGTAGCCGTGTTTTTCTTGCTTCTTATTGGGGCCTGTGAAGAGCATGGGCCGACTACGTGACGGTGGAAGGACGGACGTGCACGGTGGAAAGGAAGTTTGTGCGTATGTGTGTGTGTGTGTGTGTGTGCTGCTTCTCAAGCAGGACATCAATGCGCATGGGATGAGGAAAGGCGCAGCTTGGTGTGGGAGCTGGCTGACCAGTCTTGGCGATCTTGGCAGCTGATCACACCAGCAAGCAGCAAGTAGGCAAGATTTGCAAGTCCAGATCAGGTGCCCATCAGTTTTCGTGTTGTTGCAATTTTGGAATGTGGGAGTGTGCGACTGGCTGACAGGCGCAGGCTTGCCGCGATTGGCAAGGTCGCGCAGCGAGAGGGGCGTTCAGAGGGTGGGAGTCTGCGAGAATGCTCATGGCGAGACTAAAAAGGGCATTTTCTGGAACACAACTTCACGAAGACATGGAACCTCAAATGCATGCAAGAGCAGAAGGTACGAACAGCAAGGCCAGGAGTTCCAGCTCTGTTTTTTTTTGTGCCGGATGTGGTTGGCTGTTATGTGGACAGTTGACAGTGTGATTTGTCGTAGTGTTGATGATCGTGATAGTGACGATGGTGATCATGCGCATGGTGTCGATTATGAAGGTTGTGATCTTGCTGCTGTTGATTGCGATGATGTTGGTGTTCTCAAGCTTCTGGTTGTTGATGTTTGTCGTTGGTAGTGTTGGTACAGATGAATGCTGACGATGAGCAGGTCCTCGCCCGTGAGCCCCAAGCCAAAACTAAGCAAGGCCCGTCCCTGAACCTTGATGCCCGAAACCCCAAGCCCTTTGAACCTTCGTCCCGAATTCTGAAAGTCTAAGCCTAAACCCTCAGCTCATGGGCCGTGTCGCCAGGGCAGCCGACCCGGCCGAAGGGAGAGTGCGGTGCTCAGCTCGGGGCGAACCCTGCGGATTCGTTTCGGAGCCTTGGGCTGTTAAATTAGAAGCTCGCGTCCAGCTTTGGTTTAATCAGGGTCTAAGGCTCACCGTGTTTGGGAGGAGAGCCAAATGATTTCGACTCCAGCTCGACACAGCTTCAGTTCCAGAACTTAGCTCGAGACAGAGGCGGAGCGTCAGGCTGTACATGACGCCTGAGGCACCCAAATAAAGCTTTGCAGGCAAGCCGCCGCAGGTGGCAGAGTGTCGTCGATCGGGAGAGTGCCGGGGTTTTTGTTCTCAACATTGTGACCCTCAGTGTTTTCTTTGATTGTTTCAGTCACCCCCGATGAAGCCGAAATCTGCTCACGCTCACACCCCCACGATTTCCGATAGATGCACACGAAAGATCCCTTAGTTTGGTTGCAGACTCCGATGACAGCAAAGCAAGAAACTTCAGAGGTCCAGTGCCGAGACCCGATGATTGGAACAGAAAATATACCGTCCGTGCCTCCTCTGTTGAGAGCAAGGAAACTGATCTTGGATCGTTCTTGAGGTGTCGGAGTCCGCATTTGGCCGCGAACCTAGCTGCTAACTGGGACGCTCGGACGTTAAATGCACGTTGAGCAGAGTCAGAGTTTGTGAAGCTTTGCGGTCTGCGGCGGCAGCAAAGTCTCGAGCTGCATGTTGGAAGGTTTCAGGCTTGCGGTTGCAGGCGCTAGAAACCGATGGGGATTTAATGATTTAGTGCACAAGGTTTTAGGAGTACAAGTTCAAGGTTCAAGGCTTCGGCAGCATGTTTGGAGTCCAGGAGGCCAGGAAGTGGGACGCAAAGATCGCGCATGTAAGTCGGAACAAGGTGCTGACCGGCTGGGTGCAGAAAAGGTATTGGTGAGAACAGCAGCCGTACTAGTTGCTGTCATGTCATGGCAACATCAGTGGCAGTGGCGACGACACTGCAGTCGCAGGTTCGATTGTGACTAGTGGCAGTTTCAGTCACTGTCGAAGCAGCAGTGGTAGTAGCGGCGGCAGCGGTATCGGCAACGGTAGTGGTGATGAGCAGCGGTAGGGGTAGGAGTATCAGTCGTTGTAGTTGTAGCTGTAGCCATAGTAGTTGTCGCAGAAGTAGAAGTAGGAGGAATAGAGGAGAGGTCAAAAGCAGAAGCCTGAAGGTGCCCCCGTACGTGTTTTACGCCGGGCACAGAACGACCTCCGGGCGCTCTGGGGGCATCTCGGGATCAAGGCCGGGTGTCGGGTTGCGTTTAAATCCAACAACATCGCATTGATACTGATACTCAAGAGAAGACGACACAACTGCAAGAACTTTATGTAGTTGGACTTTTCGGACGGTAGGTGCCTTTGGATGTCGGGCATGTTTCGCTTGTTTCTCAATCTCACTGGATTGCTACTTCTACAACTACCACAGCTACTACTGTTATTGCTGCTGCTCATCCTCCACCTCTTCCTCCTCCTCCTCCTCCTCCTCCACGACCACGGCCACCACCACCATTACCACCAATAGCAACAGCATCAGCAACAACAACGACGAGCAAGCCAGTAGAAAGCAGCAACAACAACAGCAAACGCTACCGCTACCTCTGCCTCTGCCGCTGCTGCTGCCTCTGCCGCTTCTGCTGCCCCTGCCCGTGTCTCTGCCACTGCCACTGCGACTGCGACTGCTGCTACTGCTGCTGCTGCTGCTCCTGCTGCTGCTACTGCTACTGCTACAGCTGCTACTACTACTACTACTGCTACCACCACTGCTACTACTGCTATTGCTACTACTTCTACTACTACTACTACTACTACTACTACTACTACTACTGCTTCCAGTACTACTCCAGCCACTGCAGCTACCATTGCTAACGTGTTTATCGATTACTACCTCCCCAAACTCTTGTACCACTACTCACTACCCGCAGCCTTAGCATGAAGTATTTGGTTGCATGATTCCCGACTCATTGATAGCCCTTTATCCGACCTCATGAAAGTCCTACGGAAGGTCGGCTTGGCTGTGCCGGCAGCCGGTGGTTTGGACTGGGAGCTCTTGGTGCTGGACTGTGGCAAGGCGGGTTGGGCAGCTGAGAGATTGAGTGTTGTTCAAGACAGCTTGGCTTATGTGGGAGCTCAGATTTGGGCACAATCATCTTCAGGTGTCGGTGCTTTCTGCCGCGCGCCTTAGACGAGGAGACCGCATCGTTCGAGTCCAGGAGGCAGCGCTGCAGAGACCAATGTGCGAGAGCTAAAAGGTAGAGCAAAAGAGATCAGTTACATGGTCTCGTGTCGATGGAATTTATGCCTGATTTGATGCTTATCACTGCTGTGTGCCACAACAACCCGCCCAGGAAACAGAGCTGCGCGCAATGAGTCTTGGCACATTTTGGGATGACACTATTGTAGCGGGTCCGGTCTGGGGACATTGCGCCGTGTGTCTACAACTTTTGATGGAGCCGCCCAGCACTGGCACCGGAATCGCATCCCAAGATGCTCCTTCTGCAGCAGTACGTAGGAGCAGCAGGAGAGTCGCAGTAGGTGGTGGTGGTGATAGCAGCTCATGGTGCTAGTAACAGTTTGGTAACTACTAGTTTCGACGTTGTAACATGATCATGTTAAACTGTGGCAACTTATTTTCCATGCGTTTAGCAGGATTACTGCACTATATCACGACAGAAGATACACACCTGTTCAAACGGTTGTGCATGCGTTTTGAGTTGTAGTTGAGAAGTGCAGTCATGTAGCACATTTTGAAGACAGTAGCGTAGTTAACACACCGAAAGCAACGAGGATCGCTCGGCTTGCCCTCCTCGACTCCTGTGGTGAGAACGAGCCACAGGCAATGTCTTGATCCACTGACTTTAAAGTTTTTCGTGTCTCAGGTTTGTGTTGCGGGTCATTCGGATTCCTGAGCATTTGCTTGCGACAACCTTGCGGTATAGCTTGAGGTAGCATCTTTGTCGGTAGCCAAATTCGTTTATGTTTGACCGAAACTTTTCCGCCACAAGGGAGCACTAGCTTGCGCAGACTTTGAGATCTTTGCACGGTTATGTTCATGAGCTTGTCTGGCAACTGCACTCCTGGCTTGACTTTGGCGTGTCGTACAATCACACGCCGGCCAAATCGCCGCGCAGGAACAAGAGGAGTTCATGCGGTGGTGATGGTAATAAATATTACAGTCAACGGCAGCAGCGGCAGCCGTAGCAGTTGCCAAGAGTCGTCGTGGTGATTCTCGTCGTCGTCGTCGTCGTCGAAGTCGTTGCAGGGGAGCAGTAGCAGAATGGAGAAATCAGCGTTTATTGCATTGAGCCCTGGAAGCATTCCCTCCGAGATTCAAGCTCAGTCAGGTGGTTGAGCTCGAGGTGGAGTTCCGAACACTGGCAGAGGCTGCTAGTAACCCTAGGAATTGACAGCTTCTGAGCTTGCGAAGGGCTCTGTCAGGTTTGGGGTCCTCTAGGAGTGCAGTCGTGACAGTAGCAGAGGCTGTTGTTTCTGCTCCGATGCCGCCGTTGCAGGCTGCTTCCGTGGCGGAGACAGCCATGCCGCTGAAGTGCCAGGTGGGCCCCGGCCGAGTCGCATGTGGATCTGTGTAGTCTTGAAACTATGACACTATGAGTATACATATACACCACAGAATTCCGACCAGGTATGTGCGCAGCGATGTGCTCGGGTTTCATCGGGTTTCTGGAGTCTAGAGTACCTCGTTGTATTGCTCCAGGTTCAGAGGCAGTCTTGGGTATGGCCAGGCAGTGCTTTCGCCTCCACTCCCTTGCCTACTCAGGGCCTCGACTTGTCCGACTGGGAGGACGCTGCCTGGAAGCTCGTTCATGCCGTAAGCTCGAACCATCCAATGCCTGCAGCCACGGGAGGCGCCGATTCTGACTCCGAAGCTTTGCGAGCATGGCACGTAACCTCTGCATGTTTGAGGTGGAACGCCCTCAGTCCGTGAGACGGGACTCTGTCAGGACGATGACCTCCCCTCGCTGCCGTGCCTTGGCCGAGAGACGCAGCACCTCCACTAATTCGACTCCTTAGAGTGGTGTCTGAGATTCGGACAAGCATAGCAAGTCCTAGTTGCCCAGCATGTCACAAAACCTTCTTCCAGTCGCCAGGACGAGCCCCCACTACCTTCTGACACCGTGGCACCTCAAACCAATTGAGCCTGGTGGAAGCGCGCACAGACCATCGCCCCGACGAACAACATCCTTGATCCCTCATCCCCAAAACCCTCAAGCAATGATGCCTGAGCCTGAAACATCCCCTAGACTCTACCTTAACCCACGAGACCTACCTTTTCAAGGACTTGAACAAGGAAGTCATCATAGGGAATGCAAAAGGTCTTTAGGGTCCAGGTAAAACCCAAACAAACCACAAAGCGACCCCCTCCCAGAACCCAGGAGCTACTCAGAGAATAGCCGGAGCCTGGACATCCTGGCAGGGGTGCGCCAGACAACGTTCCCCGGGTTCCGGGGTCTCAGGGTTTGAGGTTTAGAGTTTAGGGATAGGGGTTTAGGGTTGCGGGTCTCAGGGTGGAGAACTGTGACGATCTGTTGGTGCTGGAGTGCTGAGTATGCGGTAAGTGTTGGCAGGGACGCATGTAGAGGGACTTTGACTCGAAAGGGCTTAAACTTGAACACTTCAGAAGCATAAGCGTGTAGTACAGTGCAATAGATCCCAAATGGCCCAAATCCATTAAGAGACTTTGACCCTCAGCCTTTTTTGGCCGGTGTAGGTCCGGTGACATATTGGGTGCTAGTTTCTTGACATTGACAGTCACATTGACATTATTGACATTGAGAGCTCCAGGTGTTGAGTCTCGCCGATTTTCTTCTTGTGGAGTTCGCGAGCTTCTATTCAGGACAGGATTTGCGACTGTGGGCTTAGGTGCAAGCCAGTCAGAGGTTTCCTTGCAGTCTGACCTACGAGCGACCTCGTTACGACCTCTGGTACCTTTGCCAACTTGGATTGGGTCTAACATTTAACATTTAGCCTGTAAGACTCTCCTGAGAAGATTTCTTTTCGCCTTGATGAGATTTCACATCCGCAGCGCCAGGCCGGTGACAGCCGCGAGCGCACCATGATGATCCGGCTGAGGAGGCAAGCGGAAGATGGAACAAGAGTGCCAGAGGAGGTTTGCACGGAATCTGGGTTGTGGTGCAAGGGGATGAGGTCTTGGGCTTTAACCGGTGAGCATCTACGGAACAAGGAAGGTTCCGAGATGGCGGTTCAGCAGTAGTAGCTCTTCTCATACTCCTGCTGCTGCTGCTGCTTCTGCTACTTCTACTCCTACTCCTGCTTCTCCTACTCCAAACTTGCTCCTACTCCCACTCCTCTGCTACTGCTACTGCCACGCCACTGTGTCTGCGACTGCTACCGCTACCGCTACTGCAACTCCTAGTGCTACTGCTCCTGCTGCTACTACTGCCATGCAAAGTCAGCAGTGATGAGTTGTTGTGTGACAACTTTGCGTGACGACAGCTTCGGCATGTGTCATCGAGGAGCCAGCGAGCCGCTACAACTGCAGCTTTCAGCTGCCTTCGTAAAAGTTTGTTGTTCCAGTTGCTCGCTATGCCAAAGCGCCTGCCAGGGTGATCCGTGGCCTTCGCGAAGCAGAGATCCAGGTGATCCTGGATAAGATGATCCTGCAAGGGGAGTGCGCGGCCCAAAATCGAGTGGGCCGGATAGGAGGCAATACACAACCCTCGTCGGATTGAAGGGTTCTTCCCCTCGTGTCGATGCGCAGCTTGCGGCTATTTGTGGCTCTTTGACAGCCTTGGGGTTTCCGATTTGGAGGGTGCATGCAGCTGAGCTGTAAGCTGTGCTGACAGGACATAAGCCCCATGCACACACAGACGAATCCCAGGCCGTTGGTGTCTGCTTCGAGCCCGGGTGGTTCTGATGCAATCGCGGTGGAGGCATGTGGGGTTCGGATTGCAGGCTTGGAGTTTAGTGTGGAGTTTTGGATCTTCGGGTTCCAGGCTTGAAGGATGAGATGAGTTTGGGGCTACAGGGCCTACCTGTTGACCTCGCTGCGACTACAACGACGGCGACGGTGATGACGACGGCAACCGCGATGACGCAGCTCACGATGACGACTACGACGACAACGACGACTACGCGACCACGACGACCACTACGACCACTACGACCACTACGACCACTACGACCACTACGACCACTACGACCACTACGACTACAATTGACTGCAATGCTAATGTACTGCTGCTGCCACAGTTTTCCATGGTACAGCAACACTCTCTTCGTGACACAGACTTGTAACGAAAAATCTGCAGCCCGACGACCCTGGTGCCCGCTTGAGGCTGAGCGGCTCAGCCAGACGCTGCTGAGAGTGGCAGGCCGTGTTTCTGAGAAGCTGCGCTGGCCCTCAACCCTCCCCCCCCAAACCTGCAGCCTTTGCCATGTTCTGGCCACTGGCGTCGGAGGAAGAGCGCCCCAAAAGCCCCAGCCAGTGTGCAGGTTTCCAGGAAGACGACAGCGACCACAAGGCACCATTCCTACCTGCGGTCTTGGAATTAGATTCTGGAAAGACTTCGTGCCTGAACTCTGATCCTCAACCCCCTGATATAAAGTGCCGGCCAAGCTTTTCCGTGTGCGGGTCTTACATTCATAAAGGGATACAGCAGCCCCCGCAAAACAAAAAACTATCGCTAGACCGCCGCGATATCTCGTCCGCTGCGTCGAATCCTTTCAATCCCCGGGGCCGGAACACGCGGGCTTGGAAAGCTGAAGACTTAAGTGGGTGGTTGTCAAAATTAGGGTCCCTTGTTGGATACCCTAAATATTAGGTGCCGTACTATACTAAGGACCCAAAGAGGGACCCTAATATTGACAACCGCCCAAGTATACAGCTGAAGCTCCAAGAAAGCCTGGCGTCCGTTGCTCAGGTTTGTTATTTGTCGGACTTTATACATTGTGCTTTAGTAAGACCTTGGCCGCTGAGACCTTCCGCATGTCCCGTGCAATTCATCAGCAACAGCACATTCAATCGGTGTAGGTTCGGTTTGGGTTCAGAGATGTTTCAGGATTAATGGCTTCTTCTTGTTGTGTTTTCGCAGTTTGCACTGAACCGGCCAACGACCTCGACTTGGTGGCCACATCGGTATCTGGAGCTGGGTGGAGCTGCGAGCCAAAAAAAATCCAACTGCATGACTGCGATATAAAGTCGTAGAACTCCGAATGTTTTGTGCACACTGCTTGATTGAACATGCAACGGTCTTGTGGAGGTACAGAATCTTGGGATATTATGTATCTTTGCTTGACCTGTCGATCCCGAAACGCATTCTAGGACGCTTGCTCCGTGATGCCATTGCGATTGGTCGTTGTGTTGCAGCTAGATGTGTCTCTCCGTTCTGCCGAAGTAGTTTTAGACTTGAAAAAGCATGGTGGCCACTGCAGGAATCCGATCAAAGTTTTGCAGCATGTCCGGAAGACAACACTTGTACCATACTTAAATCCCTGGCACGTGTGAGACCGATACGGTGTGTCAGCCCTGCTGGTGCCACGTTCCAGCACGCAAGGATGTCGGCGGCAAGCGGCTGTGGAGAGCATTGGTGGATGGCCGCCAAGGCCATGTCGGACATCGAGCTAGTTGTAGTCAGCCTTGCACCAGGCTTCTGTATATTCTGTCGGTATAGTTAGGAGTTGTTGTCGTGTCTGATCGTAGATTTGTAGTTTGCTTGCACAGCTTTCAAGCGAAGCCAAAAGAGGTTTATCAGTCCTTGTAGCAGGTGCAGGCCGCACTGGCGCTGCTGTCGATCAGGAGCAGCGAGCTAAGGTGCAATTGCTCTCAGGGCGGTGATGCTGGTGATCTGGTGGTACCGTGAGTCCTGAGGTGCCGTAGTGACGACCTACTGCCTTTGCACTTCGCAGGATCTTCCGGTGCCCCTCAACAGTCTCTGGTCGGAGGCCAGTGAATGCGTGGCTGAGGCTGTTTATTCCGAAGGCTTCCTAATGTCGACAAGAAGGTTGTGTGGTAACAACCCCAGATCAGCGAATGCAGGTATCGGGTTACGGCAAAGGATCATGAGAATGATGGGTATGGGAAGCAAAACTAAGCACAAAGTGGCTTCGACTCCGCCGCCCTACACGGGAATCTCCCGCAGCGTACAAGTCTGGAGGGGAAAGGGATGCGCATGCCTTTCATCGATGGCTTCTGGCAGCCACCACTTCAGGTGTATGATTTGGGGTTCAGAGTTCATGTTTCTGCGGGAGGGTTGAGGGCTTACTGCGGGGTTTAGGCAGAATCGAAGCGCAGAATGGATGCCAGAACTCTTTTTTCCTGCCCTCAGCACTGAAGTCCTTGGATACCTGCAAACTTCCGACCCCAAGCTACACCTCGCCTCCAGCAGGCGTTTCAAGGCCCGGAGACCCCGAAGAAGATCTCCTGGGTCTCCCGAGCCGAAAATTAACTCTCCTTCATGAAAGTCCTCGAGTTCTGCGTGGGAGTCGCGAGTCCAAAGGCGCTGTTGCGGATCAGTGCCGAGTCGCTGGAGCTCCGACGAGAGGCGATGAGCCCTGGGGTGGAGGGTGGAGGGTGTAACGGTTGACGGTTTTGGGCTGAAGGGTTTCGAGGTTCGAGTGGTAGTTTCGGGGCAAGTGTGAGAGCTCACCAAGGCTAATATCAAGCTATATCATGATAGACCATCGAGATTATCATGTTGGTTTATGTTATGTTATGGCCATGTTGTTCTTGGAATCTCCGCGAGCCCGAGGGAGCTAAGGCCCCTCCTGAAGCTCACGGCGTTTGTCTTGTCTATAAAAACAACAGCACCGAGGTCCGGGTTTGAGGAGAACCCGCCCCCCCGCCCCCCAAAACCCAAGCTGCATTGCGACCCCCAAGGCCCGCCCCAAAGGCCTGCCCCCGAAGCTCTCAGCAGCCTCGAACGGAGGAGCTCATGGCCTACGCCGAGATGTGGTCGACTCGTCAGGGCCCAAGGGAAGGGTCCCTCCAGACAAGAGGTTCAACGCGCACAGCGTGAAGTCGGCATGTGAGGCAAGGCAATGCAGTCACTAAACACCTTCAGACTGGTAGTGCAAGCTGGAAACGCAAATGGCCCTCTCCTCTTCTCTCTGCGGCATATGTGTGTGTCGAAACTCTCGTCCCCGGGCCGGGGCCATATAATGCCTTCGCCTTCGTGTTCTTGCCACTTGCAGCAGGGTCCAAGATGATAAGCACGATGTTGATTGTGATGTTCATGGTTTTTGCGATGCTGCGGTCGGTGGATGTTGGTGTTGGTTCAGGTGTCTATGTGCATGATGACTTCATGATCTGATCAGTGATGATCATGATGACGACGACTGTTATTGAGCCCTTATCGATGCTTTGAGCTCGGGGTGCAGGCCTTGGGGCAGCGAGTTTAGACCGGGATACTAGTCATCTTTCCTCCAAATCCTCGTATGCCCTTCCGAAATCTGTTCGGTTTGGGACTAATGCCCCCCCGGCGCGAAGGTCTGATCGAAGCGGAGCACTACAACCAGCTGGACGAGGCCGTCTTTGCTGCGGAGTGCCGTGAGTTGGTTCCAAACTCGGGAGTCTCAATTTTTGGAT